CCGTCCAGAGGAGCTGACAAAACTTTGTTGGATGCATCATACATGATTTACATACACTTCATCCATCCATTTATTATCTTTACCCGCTTCTTCCTTTTCGGGTCGCGGGTGTCACTGGTGCCCATATCCAGTCACTGTTGGGGGGGGGGGGGGGTACACCCTGTAAAGGTCTCCAATCCATCACAGGGACACATAGACAAACGAGACAACCATTCACTCTCTCACTCACACCTAGAGACAATTTAGAGTTACCAATCAGTCTAACATGCATGTTTTTGGTCTGTGGGAGGAAACTGGAGTACTCTCAGAAAACCCACGCATGCACAGAGAACATGCAAACTCCACCCAGGAAGCCCCCCGCTCCCCCCACGGTTGGGATTTGAACCAGCCACCTTTTCGCTGAGAGGCGGCAGCTCCATCATTTTGCCATTTCATTTAAATTATTATTGTGTTGTAATTTGTTTAACATACATTATTTATTATAATACAAATCTTTATCAATGTGTTAGCCATTAAATACAATGGGATCACGATTTAATGAGGCGGCAGCCTTCAGTATTTGTTTCTGACCTTCATGTTCAGTTTTTTTTTATTATTTCAAAAAACTTCAAAGGCTTGTCTTTTAATGATGGGTGCGTCGTTTTCATGTGGCAAAGCAGTTTTGAAGGTTTCAGGGCTCCACTGACCTTTTACACTTACTAATGTGCATGTGTAAAATTGAGCACTGCACCCCCAAATAGTTTCCTTGCTGTCTTGACTGTTATATAAACATATGTGTAAATTAATTTTCTTGGAACATTGTGAGAACGACATGCAGAGAAGAGCTGAAACAGAGTTAGATATGAACATTGTTTAGACGAAGTGTATTTGAACAAACCAAAAGTGGGCATGAAACTATTTAGACCACAATGAACTGCAAAATACTGACTTTGAGCATGCATATTAGTAACTGTAAGAATGTTAATTAGATAGGCAGACAACACGGATCACACAGAGCACGCTCAGAGCGTGTGAATCACTCAGTGTGGTGAACCCACAATCTAAGTAGGACTCTGTATTTTCTTTTAAATGCAGCTTTCTTTTTGGTGGTGGTTGTGAAACATTCTGCTGTTTCATCATTAAACCTTTTCCCTTTTTCATAGACGCTCTCCAGCAGCGTTAGCTTTTACTCATTTTTTGCTAAAGTTAGTTGAAGAGTTTACTGACATGAAAAAATAAACTGTGACCGAGTCAAGTGCTAAAACGCGTGAACAAAGAGATTGATTTTCTAAATAAAATAACATGCAGACTAACGCAAATAGAAAAAAATTATATATATATATATATATATATATATATATATATATATATATAT